TTCATATGGGGCGGTAGACCCGTGGTACTCATTTACAGAATACCAGTAGGATTCTCTGAACGCGATCAACTTTCAAGCTTTGGAGAGGCAAATAAATACTGTCACAAGAAACAGTGTCAGCGCATCTTTATAATTCGGGATATTGGCCCGATATCCCGAATTATAAAGATGGGAAGATATTAAAGTTTATTCCGGAAGACAAAATGCTGGAAAGACACCAAACTACTTTCAGGAGTACAGGCCCGCGGTAGAAGCCTCTGGGCCGGGCAGGCTGAGATCCTTCGGACACTGCCGGACAATTCTAGAATATTCTTGCTAACAATGAGCTGGACTAATTTGGGAATCCGTTCCAGCCTGGCATGCGGGGGGAAAGCCGTCTGCCCTCTGAGACGGCTGCGTCTGCTCTGCGATGCTCTTCGCCTCTCTCCGTGCCCACGAGCAATCTGGAGCTCGAAGGTCGTCCGATATTGTAGCTCATGCATTTACTGATTCCGTGATATGCAAGTTTGGGCATTGTGGCTTCGAGATTTTTGAAGATTGAGATTACTCTGTGCTCATCTCGTCCGCGGAATCGAGAGCATGAGTCACATGACATTGGCGTAGTTTGTGCAGCAGGGAGTACGATGCCGTAGAGTACTTCCTTGGCTTCCTGAATATCATGCACCAAGTTGGAGACATCCTCCCGTGACTGCCATCGATTGCTCTGGCTGCTTTTTCTCACTGCAAGGGATCCTCTGTTTGTGGAGCAGACTTCGCCTTGGGGCTCAGGCAGTGCTGCACTGAATCTCAGGCTTTACCTGCGGGATTCTCGAGAAGCTGAAACTTGGATGAGAAGATTTCGTTATCTTAACTGCGGAGTGCAATTTATTTCGCGAGCCGCTTTGGATTGGAGTTGATTGAACTGCTCTAGATTTTCTGCCCAATTAAGGTGTTGAGTCCATCTTGCAGCCTTTCCGTCCGGCGAGTTAGGGATGAACTGATTTATAAAGGGATACTCTGCAAAGAGAAATCAAAAGAAAGGAGATCTGAAGGTCTAGAGAGACGCCAGGTGTGAGGAGAGGTTGAGTGTAGCTGTTATGGGAAGGAGGTGTCAAACTCCGGGGCTTTGAAAGTTGGAAGTGTCGTCCTGAGGATGTCATCTGGAGACCCAGGGCAAAGAGATTGAGTGTTACTCTGATAGTTCTCAGAGGAAGTGAAAAAAAGTAGCTTGATAGGAACTCAGAACCTCTGCGGCTGCAGGAGAGTTCTGAGTCCTGATGGAAGACAACTGACTCTTCCACTTATTATGTAGAACTGTTCTAGCAGCAACTTTGACCTTCTGGTGCTGTGACTGCTACATGTAAGACCAGCACTTGGTGAGGGGCCACTGGACTCTGTCCGAGTCCCTGTGAATCTATGAGTCCAGGATTGACAGAATATTATAACTAGCAACATAAACGTGGGTGCTAAAAAGCTGCCATGACGTTAGAGAACCCACCGTGCTAAATAAAGCGAAGATAAAGGTTGACAAATTCATCCTGACAAACAAAAGCAGCCTACGGAAGAATGTCCACCATCGGTTCGCTAGTGTCCACAATACTCACTCTTTGTCATATAATTTTAACTCCTGTGATAACGGTGACCAATGGGGCCTTCAACCTTTTATATTTGTACAGTAGTGACTAGACCCAGACAGTAGTGTTAGTAGACCCAGACCAATATTCTGTGAGAAGAAAGTTAGAAAGAGAGTCATCAGATGTGGATCCTCTAACACGTACTATTGAGTCTGCAATCACGTCATACGGTCTCCGTGGGATTCTGAATCAATGAAAGGATTCGTGTGAATTTCTCCAGTGACTGGAAGGTGGTCTCATGTTCGATTGACCTTGGTGACTTTTCCAAGGTCTTAAAAGGTAAATTCTCAGGTCCTAGGTGTTACCTAACTAGTCAAGTTATTGGGCTTGAAACCAGAGAAGCTCGAGACGTGATAACGGCAACTTGCTGTTTGTCCTGGAAAAGATGAAGAGGCGGTCTTCTGAGAAGAGGAGCAGCACTACCGGAGAAATATGCGAGTGGGGCTCGTGGTCGGAGTCGGACCTGGAATGACGGTAGAAGTATCTGTGTTTGAAGCCACTTCCACCGGCCACTGAACTCTTGTCGTTTGGTACATCATTCGAGTCCACATTTTTCTTCATCTAAAAAAATTCTTTTTTACTTATATAGAAAAACGGAACATGACAATATTTTTAGGTTTTAATAAGTCCCGTGGTAAGCTTCGGTTCCATTTCGGAGAAGTTACGGAGGTAGTACAGTTGTCCCAAAAGTTAGGGCCTAGGATTGTCTCTGTTTCTGTAAGCACGGAATGATTTAGGGTCACAGAATTGTAATATCATTGTTTTTGTGTACAAATCGTGGGAAGATGAGGAACCAACACCATGATAAGAAGTGCATCTATATCACGGAAGTAAGGCCGAGGCGTAATCATATGTTTGAAAACATACGATGATTCATTCTCTCGCAAGGCAGGAGCGGAGAAAGAAGTGCATCTCACACTTAACTGCATAGTACGAGAAGCTTCAGTCCTCTTTCTTCAATCCCAAATTTCAGTTCGTTCTGCGCAGATGGCCCATATAGCCCCATGCATGGTTTCTGTTATCTCCTCTCAAGGCTCCAGAACAATTTTTCTTTCTCGCTTTTGACAGCACATTTTCGAGAACCATTCTGTACTTTAGACGATGACATGGTCAAAAGGAATTGGATCTCTCACTCCCTGAGTTTTTACATTCAGTTCACTTTTCTATGTATGTTGATTGTATGACAAAGAGAGCGGTCAACAATCTCAGGTAAAGTTCCTAAACTTGTCATGAAAGCTCCGGGTCCATATTCAGACTGAACAGTGAACTGTTCAGTCTGAATAAGGACCCGGAGCTCTCATGTCTTGCGGTCACAGTAATTGCGAAATGTATGTTATTTCATCCTGTATCTGCATAAACTCAACCTTTCATCACTGCTCGAGAACTTTTGTGGCCCACTAAACTACAACAGATGTGAGACTTAGTCCCACCAGATCCAGGAATACGCCAATCTTACATTCCTGAATGTATTCAATTGTCCTGTAGTTTGATATCCTGTCCTGAAGACTTGGTATTGAGTCTAATTCTATCTCTGTCTGTTCTGAGGTACAACAGTATAAAAAAAGCACTCCTGCGTTCGATGGTGTTGTTTTCAGCATATGGGCAATCATTGAGTTTGAATGGGTCCACGAATCGGTTAAGTTTACCTTAACGAGATAGAGATCCGGACTGGATGCATCGAGGAAGTTGCCTTTAAAGTCTTCATTATTTCACTGAACCTCCAGCGTCGAAATTTTTTCCCAATGATGAGCTGAAATATTGCACATCAAGGATCATGCCAGTAGTTTCACCTCCGATATTCAGTCGAGCATCTCTTCGAATTTAGTGTCTTAGGTAAACTAAGTCCCTAAAGTACGAAAAGTGCAGTTTGCATTGTTAGCACATAAACAAATCCCTCAATGTTAGCTTTCACCACTACTAATAGAAGATCTCACGCTTTTATGGTGGGACGGATAGAAGTCAACAATTACATCCATATCCGTCAAAACAGGTAAAGTAGGAAAGAAGGGAAAAAAATCTCTAGAATATTAAAAGATGTCTCACGGAAGGCGTCTCCGTCCAGCATACGATTATATGATCCAAATGCATCTGCGTCGAAAATAACATACAATGGCTATGTCATCAACGTATTAGAGAGGTCAGCAATCTCACAAACCACAGGATTTGTGGTGAAGAAACGAGAATAAATACTGGTCCTAATGCGACGAATGACTCCAAACATCAGCATATTTACTATTTGCATGCAAACCCAGCCTACGAGTGTGTAAATAGCTGGTTGCTTGCGTTTTGGAAACAAGCAGGAATGACAAACCTTGGTGTCGGACATTCAATTTTAAGAGAAGATTATAAGAATACACAACAACAGCGATGGAAAGACAAAGTTTGACCTGCGCGATAACTACCACTTTCAGTAACTCATTGCCTACCATTGCCAGTCTCATGTAAACCATGGACACTCCGATCGCCGTGTCCTGGACTTTTCCTTCGTGCTCTGCCAAGTCTCGTGACATATTGATGAGCGGACTATTTTTGATCTTCGTCCCCATTGCATGAGTGGCTTCACGGAATTCCTCCTTTTGGGCCCCAGCAATGGGGCGATAGGTACTGAATGCATACCCGTCCTGCTTACTTCGACTTCGGTCAAGGGCCGGTTCAGGCAGCTTCGCTGCGGCCTTCATGTAGGAGCTGCCTTTCAGCATATGCTTCATGATGGCAGCTGCTTCATTTTGTCCGGGTAGATAATTCAGCATGTCAGTGAGGTGATCGAAAGTTTGGGCATTCCGTGCTTACCTTCACATACTAGACCCGAAAGCGAAGCCAAAAAACTATTAGTCACTGCATTTAAAAGTTTCACCAAGTAAAGAGATTTAATATACTCATTTTGAACATGTTTAGAATCTATGGTACTTTTATACAGTAAAATAGAATTTTAGCATGAAGATCCTTTCATTCTATTTTACACTACTTACCCATGGATATGATTCATGCACTGAGTGGATGAGTCTTCAGCTTCAAGGTTTACACAGTGCATTACGCGTCAAGTAGCTACTTGAAGCGTAATGCGAGGATGGATCTCTCATAATTGCATACAATGTTACATTCATGTTTTATTCAAGATGTTGAAGCGGGGCAGGCCGGTGGCTTCCCTCTAAGAATGATTCTTCTCTATTATTTACCTAAGGAGAGAATGTTTCACTAAAAAGGATGACCTGGTCCATGTGGTATTTGACCAGACTGTCGGCGTCTCTACTGTACTATTCAGGCTTTCATACTTCATTGGTGATGAATCCATCCACCTCTTCTGATACAGTACTGACTTGTCCCCGTAAGTGCATGTTTGCGAACTATATAAACCCGTGGAGGTGGGAGTTCAGAAACACCACTAACAGGTCTTGTAATCATCCATATCTGCGAGCATTGGTCCCCTCGTACAAACTCACACAGGAAGAAAACAGAGAACCCAGTGTTAGATCTCACTTCTTCCTCAGAGTTGAATCGTAGAATTGGTGACACAGGAAGGAGATACTTGAGAGCTTCAGTGTTAGACCTCACTCTCTCCTCAGAGTTGAATCGCAGAGTTGGCGACATTCCAGTCGTCTAGGCAATTCGCAGAAATGGCCAATACCAATGCTACTGCTTACAGTCACCAGAAGGCTGAAGGACCAGCCACGGTTCTTGCCATTGGCAAAGCTACTCCTCCCACGGCCTTCCCTCAGAGTGAATACCCAGACTTCTTCTTCGACATCACCAATACCAGTCACAAAACTGAGCTCAAGGCCAAATTCGCTCGCATTTGTAAGTCTTACATGTTTCCCTTTTAACGTTCCTCGCCCATTGAATGTGGTCTTATCTTCTGCTGAATTTGTTTGTTTGCAATGTATCATCACCGATAAATTGTTGAGATCGGGAGTTTTGTGTCTGATCAGGCTATCCGTGTCATTCTGCTTTCAGGCAAAAATTCAGGGATCAACAAAAGGTACTTCCATTGCACAGAAGACATCCTGAAGGCTAATCCTTCAATGTGCACTTATCTCGAACCTTCTCTGGATATTCGACAAGACATTGCCATCAGAGAGGTTCCCAGATTGGCAGAGAAAGCAGCGATTGAAGCCTTGGCAGAATGGGGCCAACCCAGATCCCAGATCACTCACGTCGTCTTCGCAACCACAAGCGGAGTGAACATGCCCGGAGCCGATCTCACTCTCACCAGACTTTTGGGGCTGAATCCCAATGTGAACCGCACCATGCTGTACCAGCAAGGGTGCTTCGGAGGAGCCACGGTTCTGCGTGTGGCCAAGGACCTGGCCGAGAACAACAAGGGCGCCCGAGTATTGACAGTAGTGAGCGAACTTACATGCGTGACCTTCCGTGCACCCAACGAAGAACATCTGGACAATCTGGTGGGTTCAGCCATCTTCGGTGATGGAGCTGCAGTCCTGGTCATTGGTTCTGACCCCGTCCCTGAGGTGGAGAAACCCCAGTTCGAGATTCACTGGTCAGGTGAGACGATTTTGCCCGAGAGTGATGGCGCCATTGAGGGACGCCTGACTGAGGCAGGCCTGATTTTCCATTTGCTAAAGGATGTTCCCGGCCTGATCTCAAGAAACACTCTTCCCATCTTCAACAAGGCTATCGAGGTGGCAGGATCCCCCGGCTGGAACGATCTGTTCTGGTGTGTGCACCCGGGAGGTCGTGCCATTCTTGACGAAGTGGCCAAAACCCTGAGCTTGAAGCCAGAGAAGATGGAGGCAACTAGAGATGTTCTCTACAACTATGGCAATATGTCTGGTGCTAGCGTACTGTTCGTACTGGATCAGATGAGGAGGCGGTCAGCTGAGAAGAAAAGCAGCACAACTGGAGAAGGTTGTGACTGGGGACTGGTGGTTGGATTCGGACCTGGTTTGACAATTGAGGTGTCGGTCTTGAAAGCAATTGCCACTGGAAATTAGAATTTTAGGTCCAGGTGGATTGCTCCCGTCCAAGAATAATTCTTTTCAAATTATATGGTTGACACACCGTCGAACCATTTTTACAGGTCTGGATTGATTGCTATCGTAATGCAGGTCCAGGCAGAGGTGAGGGGTTTAGGCTTGCCTCTATGTTAGCATAGAATGATTCATCAAAACAATTGTATATTTTTAAGTTTAAGGAAGTATCGGAGTAAATTTGAGGAGCCACTAGATCATGATACCAAGTGTAGATAGATGACGTTTGCAAGGCTTAGGCAGCAACGCCCGTTTAGAGAACATACGATGATTCATTTCTCAGAAGGCTGGAGATCAGAAAGACGTGTATCTTACACTTAAATTTGTACATCACGAAGCTCCGATATAATGAAATACTCTCCAGTTTCAATCCAAAGTACTCAAGTGGGTTTAGTCCAACGACTTCTCTCCTTTCCTGGTTTTGGAAACGTTTTGTACCTCTCACCCTCAGCCAGGGAAGGCTTTGAGAGACTAGTTTGTACTAGTCGAGGAGAGCATGGAGAGGAGGAGTTTCTTTTGGGTTTAGAAATTCGATTCACAGTGTACTCCATTCACAGGTCTGGATGAGTTGTATCTACGTGGTAGCATGATCAAAAAGAGCGTTTGGTGAAGTGCCGGATGATCTAGCATTTTAGTTTAATCTGCAGACGAAGAATACTGAACAGTCTCCAAAAGGCGTTACTTGCAACTTAAATGTTTTTTTTAAGCATGCATTTTGTACCTTCATGTATTATTCCGAACACTGCAAGTCCCAAATATTAGAAATTTTATTACCTATCCCAAAACGACGTAATGATAATGCATTTATTTATGAAGGAAGGGTGAGAAGGCGCTGGAGTTCACGAAAAAGCTTTAGTTTCTATTAAAGTACCCTGAAGTTAGAAATTACTACTTGTATAGCACTTTTCTGGATAGATCTTATCATCCTTTACCATTTAGTTCTGAATTTCTTTCCAGATGGTGACTTCTAATCACGAACATGGTTTTTGATGAAGTTGCCCATTTAGTAAGTTAATCGCCACGTTATTAAGCTTCGAATATCTATTTTGTAATTCGAGTCCCTTCATATGCTTGAACGAAAAAACTCAAGCTTTCATCAACTATGCTCGACTGTCCCAAGAGATTGATGATGCATGCCAATGATTCCTCCTCCTTAGGTGAAAAGTGAAGGCTGAATGCATGAAGCAACTGTTTTCTCGTATATACGATACGCAAAGGCAGCGGCGTGTATAAATTGTCTTCACGGATATTTAGAATCATTCATGCATGAAGGAGAAAGGCTCTCCTGAATGGATTTTCTCTCTGTCCTGAATGACTTACGTACGTGACGATGCAGACATCGCCCGAAATTGCTGAGCTAGAGCTCATAGTGCCAGAGTCCACGTCCAACAGCTTAGCATATGCTGAATCTGAATGCACGTCAATGACTTGATATTATTCAATGGACCTCATGTGTGTAACCACCGTATTATATTGTCATGAGAGCTCCATGTCCCTGGTCGGCCGGCTGTGGAGGCGGAAAATGACCAGTCACTTTTGTCAAAATATTGAGGTCAGAACTACCAGCTCCACATTTTCAAGCTTGCAGTCGAAAGGACAGAAATCTTTACTGCTGGACCAAAACAAGAAAACTTTGCCCTCTGAGAAATGCATTCGTGCCAGGAGCATGACAGTGCTGCATTCCTGAATGTACTGAGGTATGGTTCCATGTCTTCTATTCGAATGCATTGGTATCATTCTATATTGAATTTCACCTAAATTAGCTAAACTCTTGTTTGAGTTTAGTATTTGTGGGCAAAGACCACCATTGAATTGGTCCACGACTGAAGCATTGCGAAGGTTCTTGCTTTGTTACGTAATCAGGGGTATGAGAAATATAAATATTGGGACGGCATGTATTGAGGAAGATGACTTGAAAGCAATCCTTTCATTATTCAAATACAGCATCAAATTGTTATAATGTTACATCTGTGAGCTGAAGTTGCTCACATTTCAGATCTCTACTGGCTATATGTACACTGGAGCTACATCCGCTTCTTTCGCCTAAATCATCGCATGGCACAACGGATTCTGATTAAACTACAATTTTGCAAGGCTTGATTGATTTGGGACATCCATTCCAGCCTGCCAAACATTGAAGCAGGGGCGAGGCCATCTTGCCTTGCGAGATGGCTTCATACACAAGCTCGATATCCTGTCCTGGCGACCTCGTCTCCGTGCCCACGAGTAATTTGGTACCCAAAGATCTAACAAAATCGTAGAGGGGATAGCTTCTGCAGTCGCTGATTCTGTTAGGTATGGCAGCGACGCCATTGTCGAATTGCTCTCTGACTTTGGGCACCGTGGCTTCGAGATCCGTCTTGACCTGCTCCTCGAAGACTGAGATTCTTCTGAAAACACTACATCTCTCCTCTTCGTTCTCGGAACTGAGAGCATGGCTCACGAGGCATTGCCTCAGCTTCTGCATCAGAGGGTAGGATGCGCTGGTTGCATCGTCGACGTAGGAGAATGGAGGCTGGTTGTCCACCACTTTCAAGAGATCCTTCTCACAGAAGCGCGATGGCAGTAAGCAGCCTTGGGCATCGGTGAAGAGAGTCTTCTTCGCGGCTTGAGAGACCACATTCTTGACACTCACTTGCATGTTCTCCTCCAGGTGCCGCAGATCCACTGCCTGGCACAACGCCACCAAATAGGTGGAGCACATGAGCTTGAAGATCTCGATAGCTTCCTCTGTTTTACGAGCTGAGATGAGACCCAGAGAGTTCACGTCCTGGTTGTGTTGCTCTGCACTCTGCACGTGGGTGGTCACTGGGTTGGCCAAGTACAAGAGCTCCGAGGTGTACGATGCCATGGCTATCTCCGCTCCTTTGAATCCATAGTCCAAGCTCGGGTTGGGACCTCCCGTCAGATTCGATGGAAGCCCGCCGTTATAGAAGTCGTTGACGAGCTCCGACATCTGAGCGAACATGAGCTTGCCCATGGCTGCAATTGCCAGTCGCATGTTGTCCATGGACACTCCGATGGGAGTGCCCTGGAAGTTTCCACCGTGCACTGCCATGTCTCGGGACACATCGATGAGCGGGTTGTCGTTGACAGAGTTGATCTCCCTCTCGATGGAGTGTGTGGCTGCACGGATCACCTCGATTTGGGGTCCCAGCCACTGGGGAGACGTCCTCAGAGCGTACCTGTCCTGCTTGGGTTTCTGGAGCGGGTCCGTTTCGTGGAGCTTGGCTGCGGCCTTCATGTAGGAGCTGCCCTCTAGCACATGCTCCATGATGGCAGCGGCTTCAATCTGTCCGGGGTGATGCTTGAGCTTGTGGGTGAGGTGGTCGGTGAACTCGGGCTTGCCCTGCATCACCTCACAGAACAGAGCCGACGACACTTCGGCGAAGAGCGCGAGCACGTTGGCATCGTAGCAACATATGGAAGCCAAGGCTGAGCCGACTGCTGTACCATTCACAAGTGCGAGTCCCTCTTTGGGCTGCAGCTCGAATGGCTTCAGCAATCCGACGAGCTTCAAAGCTTCGTGCGCAGTCACAACATCTCCGCATTCTGTGACGGCTTTGGAGTTGGGGCGGCCGGTAAGCAGACCTGCAATGTAGGAAAGGGGAACGAGATCTCCTGAAGCTGTGATGGTGCCCCGAAGAGGAAGTTGAGGAGTGATCTGCTTGTTGAGAAATTTCTGCAGAGTTTGGATGATGGACCACCGAATTCCGGAATACCCTTGCAGCAGAGTGTTGGTTCTCACCAGCATTGCTGCTCGGGTCGTGGAGGCCGGAAGGATGTTGGAAGCATCTTTGCCGAGAACTCCAGCGTTGAGAAAACGAATCAACTCTCTCTGTAAGTCGACCCCCTGATCAGTGCGGCGGTGGGAGGTGGCACCGAAGCCTGTAGTGACACCGTAAGTGTCAGTGCCCTTCCTCATGTGGTGGAGCACCCATTCCGAGCTCTCGTCAACGCGGTTCTTGGCTGCAGCTGCGTCGAGGACCACAGTGACGTCAGGACGCCTGGCAACAGCTGCAACCTGGGCCACTGTGAGCGTCACGCCCTGAATAACCACTTCCTTCTCGTTCTGAAATTCTTGTACCAGGTCCATGACCTCCTCCCAGTGACTGCAATCCATGGCACGGGCGGCCTTTGCCCAATTCAGGGAATCTTCTGTTCGTGGAGCGACTTGGGCCGTAGCGTGTAAACAGTACTGCATCGAATCTCCAGTCTTCTCATCAGACATTTTCATCTGCTGAAAATTCGACGAGAAGAATTCGTTCATCATCTCTAAAGCTCGGTCGATCGAAAGCGCAAACTTCTTCTGAAGATCGGCAGACTTGCTCAATGATTCCTTCAGTCTTGCTCAGATTGAAATCTCGGACTCTCAGTAGAGTCTTGACGGATGAAACTCCGCAGTGTAGAAGTGAGAGGAGGAACTGTTTGCAAGAAGCGAACAATTCCTAACGGAAAATGCACAGCGAAGTGTCAAGGAGCAGACAGATCGGGAAGCCGAACTGCTGATGAGAGATAAATGACGGCCCTCGTGCTATATACTCAGCAGCCTTGCGGAACTGTGGAGTCCTTTCCGTTGTGATCGGGACCGCACGACCGTCAGGTCTCCGCGTTGGAAATTATGCTCGCGCAAGTCCCCATGCAAGGGACGGTCCAACGATGGAGGACCATGCGAAGCGTACATTGACAAAGATTCTAGAGCTATCAGACTTCATCAGACTCAACCAGCCTCACAGAAGATTGCCATGAGGTTGAGTAAATCCACGTGCTTCCTAGCGTGGATGGGTCTAGCTTGACAAACGGGGCGTGCGGTGGGAATTCAGTCCCATGCTTGGTACCCTAGAACAAGTTGCCCTGAGCGTTCCCTCCTAACAAACAAAAAAAGTTTCACTGCTTGAAATAATTGAGGGATTGACGGAAGTACATTATCTGACATATATTTATCTAATCAGAACGAGTACTTTACATATAGAGTTTATCTAGAGAATATAAGATATATACAGGATATGCAGTATGTCATATACGTGCTATGAATGTTTCCTTGGAAAGAATAACAACTTGACGACCTAATGTGATCCTCATTTACAAAATTTAACCTTGTGATTATAGACATGTACAATTTTATTATTTATTTGAAATTACTAAAAATTGATTTCACATTTGAAAAATATCATTCTTAATTAAAAAATTAAATTTTATTATAGTAAAACATGCAATATTGTTTATTATATATACAAGAGCATTCAAACATATCTTGCAATATGTAAGATAAAAGAAAATTTACATTTGAATAATATTATTAATTTTTTCTAAAATATTTTACAATATACGATTTATATAAAATTGTAGAATGTGAATCTTATATTGTATAAT